ATTCCTGCTCCCAAGCTCCTAGGAACTACTCATCTACTCTGTGTCTTTAGAGATTTGCTTATTTTGGAGGTTTCATATAAATGGAATCACAAAATATGTACCCTTTGGTGAATGGCTTCTTTCATTTAGCATGACCTTTTTAAGGTTCATCAGTGTTGTAATAGGCATCAGTAATCCAACTCAGTTTCTGGCCAAGCTAATATTTAGTTATATGGATATATCACATTTTGTTTATCAGTTTATCAGTTGATAGACATTTGTTGTTTCTGTTTTGACTGTTATGAATAATGCTGTTATGAGCAGTTGTGTAAACATTTTTGTGTGTACCCAGTTTTCCAATCTACTTTATATATACTTAGAATGGAATTACTGGGTGATAAGGTAACTGTTCAACAAATTTAGAAACTGCCAGAACAATTTTCCAAGGCAGCAGAACTATTTTTCCACCCCATCAGCAATGAATGAGGGTTTCAGTTTTCCCACAACTACCGTTAATAATTGTTATTGTCTGTCTTTTTTTTAAGAGCCCTCCTGGTGAGTGTGAAGTGGGATTTTATTATGGTCATGATTTGCATCTCCCTAATGCTGAGCATCTTTTCGTGTTCTAATTTTTTATTGGCTGTTTGTATATATTCCTTGGAGAAATGTCTGTTCACATTCATTCTCCGTTTATAAATTGGGTTATTTGTCATTTCGTTGTTGACTTGTAAGATTTCTTTTATGATTTGGGTACAAGCCTCTTTATCAGTTAGATTTTTGTAAATACTTTCTCCCATTTTGTGGGTTGCTTTCACTTTCTTCATGGAGTTCTTCGAAGCACAAAAGTTTTTTATTTTGATAATATGCAGTTGATCTATTTTTCTTTTGTTTGTTTTTGTCAAATCTAAGAAAACTTTGCCTAACCAGAAATCAAAAATATTTATTCCTCTTTTTTCCTACATTTTTTACAACTTTAGTCTTTCCATTTAGGTCTGTTATTCATTTCGAGTTAATTTTTATAGATGGTGTGAGGCAGAGGTACACCTTCATTCTTTTGCATGTGAATATTCAGGTGTTCTAAAACCATTTATTGAAAAGAGTATTATCTTTCTGATTGAATTGTGGCACCCTTGTTGAAATTCAGTTGTCTATAAATGTAAGGGTTTATTTGTGGCCTCTCAATTGTATTCCATTGTACTTTTAAGGTTTTTTTATTCTTATGATGTCTGTTCTTATACCTTAGTAGCATAGTATGATATTGTGATTTATAAGAAAGAAATACTTGGTCTTCATCCCTGTTCCTGGCACAGAGTTCCTAAAACCCTTGCAAATTCCTAAGTAATAAAAGAGATTAAGTTGTCTTTTGTTATTCATAACAAGTCACTTCAACCATGCTTGAATTCATGTTAATGAGGTGACTTTTGGAACCACCCTGAGGATGTAGGCTTGTTGCCTGGGATACCAATCAAGTCACTAGAGGGTTGTGACTTTAAGGCACACCCCTTGACCTCTAGGGAGGTGTGGGGGAGCTGGAGGTTCACTTAATTACTAATAGCAATTATTCCTACATAATGAAGCCTCCATAAAAATCTCTGAACTATTGGAGAGCTTTGGACAGATTTGGTGTTGGTGAACACATGGAGGTGCTGGGAGGGTTATGCTCCTGGATTGGACATGGAAGCACTGCCCTTTGCAGCTTTTTCATCTGGCTATTTCTGAGTTGTATACTTTGTAATAAACCTGGCAATCTAGTAAGTAAACTGTCTTCTTGAGTTCTGTGAGCCATCCTAGCAAATTAACTGAACCTGAGGATGAGGCTGTCCCATTTATAGCAAGTTGGTCAAAAGCACAGGTAGCAATCTGGACTTGAAATTGGCATCTGAAATGTAAGGAGGGGCAGTCTTGGCGAACTGAACTTCTAACTTGTAAGATCTGTTGCAGAGTCCAGGTAGGTAGAGTCAGGACTGAATTGAATTGTAGGACACCCTGCTGGTGTTGCAGAATTGTTTGGTAATGGGAAAAACCTCTACACGTTCAGTGACCAGCAGTGAAGTCGTATTGAGAATACAGACGTATTCTGTGACTAGAGTGTTACAGTAATAAAGGGGAGAAACAGGAGTGTTTTCCGTAAGCGTAGAGTAATCAGAATGGAAAGGTGAGAGCCCTCTGTGTTTTCTTTATCAAGATTATTTTAGCTATCCTGGATAACTTGCATTTCCATATGAATTTTAAGATTAGTTTGTCAATTTCTGTAAAAGAATGGAGCCGTGATTTTGATAGGGGTTGGGGTGAATCTGTAGCTCAATTTCTTGAGTCTTGCCATCTTGACAATACTAACTTTTCTGATCCTTGAATATGAGGTATGTGTCTTTCCATTTATTTAGGTCTTTTTTAAAATTTTTTTAATATTTTACTGTCATAACTGTCACTTTATTGTGTATTTCTATAAGCATATGAAAATGTGAACTTTATAATTGTTTTTATTTAAACATTTTATTTTATATTGGAGTACAGTTGACTAACGATGTTGTGTTAGTTTCAGGTGTATAGCAAAGTGATTCAGTTATACTTATACATGTATCTATTCTTTTCCAAAATCTTTTCCCATTTAGGTTGTTACATATTGAGCAGAGTTCTGTGCTGTACAA